TCTGGAACGAACTACCCCCCGAGATCTGGATGATTCCGGATCTCCTTACTTTCCGCCGCGCCCTCAAGACATGGCTTTTCCAGCAAGCGGGCCTGACCTAGGGAGGATTTTAGGTAGGGATGATTTTAAGAAAATTTTAATTGACACACAGCTTCCAATATTTGGCTTTTAATTTGGTTTTATGGGGTTTTTTTGTTTTCTGATGTATTTTGTTTGTATCTGTTTTAATATGCTGTGCACCGCCCTGAGTCCTACGGGAGAAGGGCGGTATATAAATTAAATTAAATTATTATTATTATTATTATTATTATTATTATTATTATTATTATTATTATTATTATTATTATTATTATTATTATTATTATTATTATTATTATTATTATTATTATTATTATTATTATTATAATATACCATTTTCTAACTCAATACTATTCAATAATACTCAGGTACCATTCACTATATATATTCATGTAACATTCAGATAACACTCAATAATTCTTGTACTGTATACCACTCATGATCTAAAGCGTGATGGCAAATGATTGTAGATGTGGGCCAATATACATGGAAGATAATGGGTAATTGCAAACGCTCGTTCATTTGAGGTAAGCATTTATGAGGTATTTATTTGGATTGATGTTTCAGAATTGAGCAAGAAACCCATTTCTTCTCTTCCAGATAGTAGAAGTTTATGGCTTGCTGGCCCTGGGGATGACTCTATGGAACCAGCTGGTGGTCCCTGTTCTCTTCATGGTCTTCTGGCTTCTACTGTTTGCTCTTCAGATCTACTCCTATTTCAGCACTCGGGATCAGCCAGCCTCTAGGGAGAGACTTCTCTTTCTGTTCCTAACAAGGTAATTAGCAATTGTCCACTCTTGGCCTTAGTTAATCTATCTGGAAGGGCTGAAAGCTCTGTTCTACAAATGAGATGAATCAGTTACAGATAATCACATTCACCTCACAAGCATCTGTTTCTCTCTCTCTGACTCCTTGCATTGTTTCTAGAACAAAGAATGTGAATATTTTATTTCCTCATAAAATAAAATGTTTATCAGAGAACAGTATTGAGAGAATTTGGGGTTTTTTAGTAACCAAAATGACCAGAAATGGATGACTTTGGTATTTTTTCAACCTAGAAACTGCTCAGTTTAGGTGTAATTTTTCTCAATGGAAGAGCTTCTTTTGCACTCTAATTTATTTGATCTCAGCATTACAGTCCCTTAGGACCATGCATTATACAATTTTGTGTGTTCTGAGCTCTCTCTAGAAAATGTATTAGATAAACCAATCTTCATGATTAGAGGATTTGAAAAATTGCTCTTTTTAAAGACTATCCTCAAAACTCTTAGTATAATTGAATAAAGTGTTAGTGAGCAACATAATAATGAAATACTGGAAAAGAAATAGGAATACATGAATTTCATCCACTGAAGAAACTCAGTTTGCTTTTATTATAATAAGCCAGATGAAATAGTTTGAATACTAGAAATAAGTGGAATTTATTCCACTTATGATGATTCTGATTATGGGGGTCACCCATCAAAAAGAGATTTAGATTTATGTGACAATTTAATTTCTTCCATTATAGTCACATTTAGTTTATAGAAGGTGATCCTTGGCCCCACAAAATCCTGTAACTGTATAGAGAAAATATCTATGGAATAGTTCCAGAAAATATATCCATTATATCAGGAGTCCCCAACTTGTGGGCCACGGCTCACCACTGGACTACATCCGCTTGGCCATCAGGCTGCGTGAAGGGATAGCCAGTGCACATGCACAGCCGTGTGCACTCATTCCCCCCTCGCGCTAGCGCCACCCCAAGCATCCCACCGACGCTAGCACCACTCTGCCCCAAGCATCCCACCAGCACTAGTGCCACCCTGAGCATCCCGCCGCTGCTAGTGCTGCCCCGCCCCCAAGCATCCCACTGGGACTAGTATTGCCCAGAGCATCCCGCCAGTGCTATTTCCACTCCATCCCTGAGTGTCCCACCGGCACTAGTGCCACCCTAAGCATCCCGCTGACACTAGCGCCATCCCACCCCAGAGCATCCCAGCAACACTGCTGCCCATAGTGTTCCATCAGTGCCAGCACCCTCCATTTGCAGCACTCGCGCCCATGCAGCCCTGTTTGCAAGTGCGCATGCGCTCATGTGCGTCCATTTGCATGTGCGCATGCACTCACACACGCCCATTTGTGCACGCACGCATGGGGCTCATTTTTGCACACAGACATGCAGCCCATTTGTACGCATGCACGTAGCAGTGCCTGCCTCCCTTTCCGGGCCGCCAAACCAAAAAGGTTGGAGACCTCTGCATTATATAGTTTGCCTAACCACTATTAACTACTTGTTTCAAATGCTTGGCTAAACGGGAAATGATGCTACAAATTCCATGTGTTGAATTTTGCATCTTTAGGGATAATTCTGAATTGAAGTATCATTGAACAAAACTGAATGCGTTTTGGAGCCACCAGACAATGATTTTTCATTAAACTCATCTCTGGCACATGATCTTCTCTTTGAATACTGTTTATCCAACAGTATCTCCTTTGGAAAGAAATTGCAGAACGGCATACAGTATACCTGGCTCTCCTCTGTGTTAAGAACTTTATGGATTCTAATGTTGCTGCATGCTCTTTCCCCTAGTATTGCAGAATGCTGCAGCACTCCTTACTCCTTACTGGGATTGGTGTTCACTGTCTCTTTTGTGGCACTTGGCGTTTTAACACTCTGCAAGTTTTACCTGCAAGGCTACCGGGCATTCATGAATGATCCAGCTATGAATCGGTAAGTGTCCAAATAAGAGTGCCTCTAATTCTTTAAGGGCCTATCCCAAGTTTATTATCTCAAAGCAAATTAGATATATTGCACAGTGTAATCTCTTCAAAACAAACACCCCCAAATGCCTTCAGATACTATTTAGATACAATATATGTTTTCTAAGAAGCTTACTATTTTTTTAATAGAACTACAATTCTCTCTTTGTCCCATCCATATGCTTACATTGCTGGATTGGGGAAGGCTTCTTTAAATCCTCTGGAATTTCTGGACTCAGGCAGACTATAAGGGTCACTGAATTTCTTCTTATGATCTTAACTGTCTAAAGTACAGCATCTTTGCTACCTCAGGTGGAATTGGCATTTGCTTGCCACCTTGATATATAACATTCTTTGCATTGTTCCTCCAATTTCTTAGCTCCACGATGTGTATTAAAACATGTTAGTAACATCAAAATTATCAGAATCTATAGCAATGTTTCTCAACCTTAGCAACTTTAAGGTATGTGGACTTCAAGTCCCAGAATGCCCTTGTCAGCATGCTGACTTGGGTATTCTGGGAAATGAGGTCCACACATATTAAAAGTCGCCAAGGTTGAGAAATACTGACTTGTAAACTTCTTTCTATCACCATTTCTCTTTATTTCAACCTAAAAACTTGCTTTCAGTTGTATTCAGCAACAGATGAAGCTTTTTTCTTTCAGCAGAAAAAATAGAATTGAAAACAGTAGTCGGGTGATCTCTAGAAAAAGCTTATTAATCTATAGAGAGTTAGGACTTGAAAATGAGTCAAAGATGGAAGAAATCAAAAGTGATTTGGGACCATTTCAAGTGGAGATCACATGAACAAAACCATTCTGGTTCATATCATTGTCATAATTACTGAAATACTTATATATTTGTTGCCATGTTTAAATTATGTGGGTAATGTACAGAAATGTGCAGCAAATATGAAATGTATTCAAACAATACAACATAAAATATATTTATAATGCACATGACTGTACAAACTCACCATAGATCACTGATTTGTAGATTACAGAGCTGTGGTTTAGGGAGCCAATGACAGGCAACATTTGTTCATTTGAGTTATTGATGAATTGCTAACATTGAAGGATGGTGTTTTGCCTGTCTATCCAGCAAATTCACAAATAGCTTAAAGTCAAGATAAAATCTCCCTCTGAGAGTTGTTGAGCAAAAATCCTTTGGCTGGGATCATCTGATAAGGCTGATATTTGGCCACATCAGAAGGCTTAGGAAGATAGTCGTATGGTAGTCACATGCTTTTAAAACTGCCTCAGATCACTTGAGAACTACAGTTTTGTTCTTGATCTTTTTTCATTGCCTTTAAAAATGTATCTACAAAGGGGGATGACAGAAGGAGTCACACTTTTGATCCTGGCTGTGCAGACTGGACTCATTGAGTTACAAGTAGTGCATCGGGCCTTCCTGCTCAGTATTATTCTCTTCATTGTGGTGGCATCCATCCTGCAGTCCATGCTGGAGATCGCAGACCCCATTGTCTTAGCTCTGGGAGCTTCAAGAGACAAGTAAGTCAACAGCATTCAATACAGGCAGCCATCATTCAAGATTGTTCTTTGTTCTGCATGTAAATATTCTGTGTCTTGATTCAGGGCTGATAATTTAGCACAACAAAGGTCAGGCTTCAGGAATTCTGAGGCTCATGTACTTTTCCTTCATGCACTGTTTTGAGACAATTCAAAGGACAAGCTACATTGTTTTTTTTCTGCTATAGTTTACAGAGCAAGCACAAACCGTAGCTTATTGTGATATGGACAAAACAGACAGCAGTTTGTCTGAAACTAAGGAATTGCTGCTTGATAGGGGGAACACATTTTGATAGGGGATAATAAGGCAATATGGATAATATGGTTTAACATGCTGTGTGAATCCAGCCGTTGTGTTCCACAAGGCATGGTTCATGTCTTAGGTTCATGTAGGTCAAGGCCAGTATGACTTTAAAATAAGTCCAGGTTAAGACAAGCCGTGGCTTGCTATATGCTATAGTGAAGGGAGAAGGAAGCAGCTGAGCCTAAGAGCCCTTAAAAGCTCAGCCACTACCTGGATGATTTCTGTTATTTGCATCTGCAGAGATGAGATACAATGGTGTGCAGATAAGTTGGGCAGTCTCTCTTCTGGCTGGCCTTATGTCTATTGTACGGAAAGAGTTCTCAGGCTCCACAGTGAAGGTAGAACAAACTGATCCAGTAGCAAGAAGAATAGATGGGATGCATATAAAATCCAGAGAAGGATGGCGAGTGACTGGAGAGAGTAAAAGAAATATGTTTTTGTCAGAAATTGGTTCTAAAATTGGGTTAGTGCTACTTTCCATCTTTTCCTTTTCCTTTCTACTTCACTTTTTCCTCTCCAGGATAGCCAGAAAGGACTGTATATAAGAGGAGGTTTATTTTTATCCACTGGGCCTGTTATGCTGGAGGTCACCTGTTACTGGCATCTTTTGCTTGCACCATGTTGTCGTTAAAAAATTTTTAGCAAAGGGAAACGAGGACAGCAGAACTACAGGAGAGTAGTTAGCTTAATTCTGCATGTTGATCTGGGCACATGGGAATTCTGATCAGCCAGTTTCAAACCAGAGAGTGGGAAGAAGATCTAGGAAAAAAAATTATAGTGGATTAGCGTTCTTAAATATTCAGTTCTGAATCTTACATCTTGAAGTTTCCATGAATGATTGATAGTAGTACACTATTCAGACCCTCACCATACACAGATGAGATTTGCAGAAGCATGTAATTAGCTTAGTTCAATTGAATTAGGTCAGGAGCAAGAAGCAATGTGATTCTGCTGTTGCATAATAATGATTGATCCTATGAAATGGAAGGCTGATCACATTCAGATTATATCACAAAGTGTTTGGTGTTTCATTTGTTTATGCTCACCCATAGATAAAGAAGCTAAGTTGTTGGTGTTAATTTTGTGGTGTGTTTTTGCATTCCCCACCACCTACTCTTTGAGGCAACTTGTCTTACTCTATTATTTTGGGACTTGATTTCCTTCATCCACATGCATGCGGAAGCCAGATGATTGTATAACTTTGACCATCCCGAGTCTAATATGATAATGCAGTTAGAATCACAATGCAGTTTCCATTCAAAAAATACCATTCCAATAGAAGAGAATTATATGCAAAGACAGCACGAATGTGCATGTTGTTCCTATGTATTTGCACAAACTTTCCCCAGCAGTTTTGTCTTCTGTTAATTCCACATTCATTTGTACAGACAGCAATAATGTGCTGTCTGAACCTTACTCTCCCCAGAAAAAAGTGGGTGGAAACCTCGCATTCTGAAAAAATAGAAAGCCGTCAGCCAGGTTAGACATCCTTCTCTGTGCATAGTGAGGCTCAACCAAGGCAGAGTAGGCCACATATCAATCAAGAGAAATAGCTGGATGGCTTCTGAATTGTGTTCATTTACCAGAGATTAACCTGCGGCAATCTCAGTGTGGCAGGTTTTTGTTATTTTTGTTGTCCTGTCGCATTTTTTACCTGCGCTGCTAACGATGCTGAGCATTAGTTTTTAATTTTTTTTAGAACTCAAGACTGAGTCAGAAATTCCAACAAATCTATTTGAGGCAATGCCCGTTACGTGAGCAGTTTAAGATTACAAAATAGCATGCAAGTATTATGTTTCAAGAAATCGGTATCAGGCAAATTGGATGTTGTGGTGGATGTCAGTTAAAAAAGGAGGTCAGGAATAACTGTCTATGATGTTAAAGCCATGTCTGTTGAGTAGATCTGAAAGGTTTTGTGGAAAAAACATATATTTGTTTTTATCTGTATGAATACATATAGATTGGACCCTGGACATATACAAATCTGGACATTCTGAAAAAAAAAGTTAATAGTAGCCAAATCAGGAAGTATTGAGGGTTGAATGGGCATATCCCCTCAGAAAATTCTATTCAGTTCAATTGAGTGGTGATTTAATTTAAAGCAACAGGGTTGTAGGAAATGGTATTCTGAAATTAACTGACAATTGCAGCATGTCCGCATAAACCCAAAGCTTTTGTTGTAATATAATATTCTCTTAAGGCAAGGGTATCAAAGGCCCATGGTTGAAATACTAGGGTCAGGTATCTCCCAGATTCCTCCAAATTTAGTCACCAAATTGTTAAGCTGTATCCAAAGGGAACTATGAGGCACAAATGGATTCTACTTACATACTTTCAGGATAAAGGAAGAAATGGAAATTATGATAGGAAAGGCACTATGTTTGAAAGTGGGACACCGTGAGTTCAAGTCCCACTTTAGCCATGAAAGCAAGCTGGATGACTTTGGGCCATTCACACGCTCTCAGCCCAATCCACCTCACAAGGTTGTTATTGCAGGGAAATAGGAGGAAGAAGGTATGCTGGATATGTTTGCTACTTTGAGTTATTTGTAAAAAATAATAAAGGCGGGATACAAATAAATAAAACCATAACACAGGCTCCCATGCAATCTGTGATTGTACTGAAGTCTATGCCCAGTTTTAAAGGGAAATTTCTTTTTATAGGAGCCTTTGGAAGCATTTCCGTGCCGTGAGTCTGTGTTTGTTCTTGCTGGTTTTCCCAGCTTACATGGCCTACATGATCTGTCAGTTTTTCCACATGGACTTTTGGCTGTTGATCATCATTTCTAGCAGCATTCTCACTTCTCTACAGGTAAGTTATAAGGGCCTCTTTATTCCTGTGATCAACAAGAGCAAGCAGTTGGAAAAAGCAGAACGGAAATAAGTAAAGGGGCATTTTCCATCTGTTCTCCTAAAGGAGATGTGCAAAATATGCAGCCCAAGGATTGCCTATGCCAATTGATTATGTGATATTTCTGACTCCTAGCAGAGAGAAAGAGAGAGAGAGAGATGATAGAGAGATATAGATATACAAGAATAGTTTTCCTATTGAATGAATAAGGCCAATAAACCTTTTTTTTTTTGTATTGGAGGGATCTTTGTGGATTTTGGAAGGGCAAAATGGGTCTCATACGCTCTGTGGTTCTTAAGGCATCCCTTTTGCCCTTAGAACTCTTTTAAGATTTCTCATTGGCTTGTGCCCAAGTCTTGCCCATTTTTGGAGTATGGCCCTTGACATTCTAGACAAATCCTGTTATAGCTTTTGAGCTAATGAAAGTCGCACCTCCCTGCTTACAGCCCTTTCTGCTCCTGGCCAAGGACAACATATTGGCTTATTTTGTAGAGATTACTAAACTATGTCATAATAAATTTATATCCATATATAAAATATCCATGGCCAAGGAAATATAAATATAAAATTTTGGTCTCAAAACATGGAATAGAACCCAGCACTTGCATTTCAACTGCAGTGTTTGTTTGTTGTTTGTTTGTTTATTAAATTTATATCCCCACCCACCCACCCAGCTTGCTATCTCAGGCCTGGAATCGGAGCACGTGTTGAGCTTGTGATCAGAACTCTGTTTTATCCAAGGGTGCAGGAGCTCTCAACCCCCATACACTGTCTTTCTCTCACTCTTTCTTTTTCTCACAGGCATACTTGCATTTTTGTATTGTATTATTATTACTTTAATTTATACCCCGCCCTTCTCCCGAGGGACTCAGGGCGGCTTACAGGTAAATAAAAACAGAGCTATACAATAAATATTTAAAAGCCAAATTAAAATATATATTAATTAACCTGTATTAGAAAAATTATAAAATCCCTTTAAAATCCCTATAAAATCCCCCCCTAGGCCAATCCCGCTTGATGGANGGATGCTCCTCAAGGGGAGCCCCATGTAGAGAGCATTGCAGTAGTCCAGGCGGGAGGTGACGAGAGCCTGAGTGACTGTGCGCAAGGCGTCCCGGTCCAGAAAAGGCCGCAACTGGTATATCAGGCGAACCTGATAAAACGCCCCCCTGGTCACGGCCGACAAGTGATCTTCCAATGTCAGCCATGAATCCAGGAGGACTCCCAGGTTGCGTGCCCTCTCTGAGGGGGCCAGGATTTCGCCCCCTATAGTCAGCGATGGAATCAGCTGACTATGCCGAGGCGCTGGCATCCACAGCCACTCGGTCTTGGAAGGGTTGAGTCTGAGTCTGTTCCTCCCCGCCCTGGATCTCACATTTGTTAAACAAGATTTAATTTAGCATATGGTATTAATAGCAGTTGATTTATAAAATGAGTAATTTACAAAAAACTGTACTGGCTAATATTGAAAAGCTACAAAACCTCGTGACTTGCCTGCTTTAATCAGAAGCTGCGGTTTTTTCCCTCGTTCAGGTCCTGGGGACGCTTTTCATTTATCTCTTATTTATGGTGGAAGAGTTCAGAAAAGAGCCGGTAGAAAACATGGATGATGTTATTTACTACGTGAATGGCACCTATCGGCTGCTGGAGTTTCTCGTGGCTCTTTGTGTTGTGGCCTACGGCGTATCCGAGACCATCTTTGGAGAATGGACCGTGATGGGCTCCATGATCATTTTCATTCATTCATACTATAATGTGTGGCTTCGGGCTCAGTTGGGATGGAAAAGCTTTCTTCTCCGCAGGGATGCGGTCAATAAGATCAAATCGCTGCCCACAGCCACCAAAGACCAGTTGGAACAGCATAACGATATCTGTGCCATATGCTACCAGGTAAATGCTGCGATTGAGCTGAACTTCAGCAGCTCTGGCTCCTCCTTGTGGTATTTTATAAAAAGACTGAAGCTTCGGGTTTGATCAAACTCTAAATGAGACGACAAGAAATTGGAAGAGACAGAGCTGTGTGACAAAGGAGCAGAAGCAGGTTGCGTGCCAGAACACAGGATCAGCTTCTCCAGTTGCTGAATCAGTAAAGGAGAGGAAAAAGTGGAAGATTATATGAACGGGGAACCTACATTTCCAAAATGTCTATATGTCACATGACCATCACTTACCTTGTTAACCTGCAAAGTTTAAGGAGCAGAGAAGTGCATCAACTTTGC